GCTGATAAATATAATGTATGCACGGTGTTACCAACACCTGCATACGTAATACAATGCAGTTTAGTAGCTCGGAATTTATAAAAAGATCTTAAAGGTTCAGTTACCTTATTCTTAAGTAGACTATGACAAGAATGCTGAATCTATTTTTACATTAATCAAAAAAATATCTTACTTATATTTCATAGAGAAGATATCCTGTAAAGTCTTATGCTACATTAGCGTTGCACAAAGGATTGGGAAAGGCTGACTGTAATAAAGCGTTTTGGCAAAGTTGTTTTGAAAAATTTTACCTCTGAATAAAGAGGTGTGATATTTATGTATGACTTGATTGGATGATAGGATGGCTTGGTATTAAAGCACCTGTCTTAAAGCTTTCCGGTTTCTTCATTCAGTCCGATTTCTAGTGCGCTTTCGTCCGGGACATCAAACTTTGATCAGTTATAAAAACTTGTTTCGTAATTATTATAATATAAACAAGGCTGGTATTATGTTTTGACTAATCAAGATTAGATAGATTTTTTTTTACCTTTTAGATACATGTATACATCATCTATTAGAACTGAAGTTCACTATCTTGATAAATTTCCAAAATATTTGGTATTGAAAAATTATTTTTCGAAAACAAATTAAAATTTCATTGTCGCCAATAAATATGACGCAATAATATTGATTGTAATGTATGAGACAGTGTTTATGGTACAGTAACATGTCTACAACTATGTCTCACGTCTACTATTGTATGCTGCTATACACATGATTCTCTATTTTGAAATTTATGTAAAATTGATGTCATTTCTACAGTGTGTCTCCAATTTATGTCGAAACTATAATTTGCCTTCCGATTGATTAAAGCTAAACGTGTCTTTCGATTTATTTAGATAACTTGTCTCCGAAGTTATTCTAATTTATAATATGTGTTCCGAGTTATATTGATCTATAGTGTGTCTTAGGAATTCTCTAAATCTATACTGTGTGTTATAAATTCTCTAAATTTATAGTGTGTCTTATGAACTCTCTAAATCTATAGTGTGTCTTATGAATTCTCTTAATCTATAGTGTGTCTTATGAATTCTCTAAATCTATATTGTGTCTAAATCTATAGTGTGTCTTATGAATTCTCTAAATCTATATTGTGTCTTACGAACTCTCTAAATCTATAGTGTGTCTTATGAATTCTCTAAATCTATAGAGTGTTTTATGAATTCTCTTAATCTACATTGTGTCTTACGAACTCTCTAAATCTATATTGTGTCTTACGAACTGTCTAAATATATAGTGTGTCTTATGAATTCTCTAAATCTATAGAGTGTTTTATGAATTCTCTTAATCTATATTGTGTCTTACGAACTCTCTAAATCTATATTGTGTCTTACGAACTGTCTAAATATATAGTGTGTCTTACGAACTGTCTAAATCTATAGTGTGTCTTACGAACTCTCTAAATCTATAGTGTGTCTTACGAACTCTCTAAATCTATAGTGTGTCTTACGAACTCTCTAAATCTATATCGTGTCTTACGAACTCTCTAAATCTATATTGTGTCTTACGAACTCTCTAAATCTATAACTTATACCATTCTTCCGCTGTTAGCAAGAAGACAATGAGCATAATGAAACATTATTGTGTACAGTTGCATGGTGGAAGAAGACAATGTTAAGATGACAACATAATAACTCCATATCACAATATCAATTTTTACACAATAGTGAAATGTGTCAATCTTATTGATGGTTAAGGAAACTCGCCTTCAACAAACCTTCGGTGGTTCGTCGCTATTGTTTGGTTTTCGTCTCCTATATCAAATGCGTGCACCCTTTCACCTGCCAATCCTCAGGAATATATTATAAAACTGTCATGCGGTCTTTTACGATAAAGAGACTGATTACTTTGTAGCACACTGGACCTACTTATTTGACTATATCTATTTGCTTGTTTGATTCATAAATATTGTTTCAACAGTCTGGAAACAAATCTAGAATAGGCAACAAATGATATATCGCTATCGATATGTCAACAGAGCCTGAATTCAAACTCAAATTCAATCAAACTTGGACAATTTTTTTAAAAAAGAGACATATGAACAAGTATCAAAAGTTAGTAAAACCAAGCGTCCAGGAAGAGCAAGCGTCTTATGCTTTATCAACGACAATCACCATGCAAATCTTGTCAATCCAAGTACATTGTAAGTAATGTCACGTTCTCAAATGAGAACAATGAAAACAACAGTGGAACCACCAAGGTAACAACAAGCATCAAACACTTACACTATCATTGTAAATAAGGCGTTGTACATAAAACACACAACTGAATAGCACCTCATAATATAAATTTAGATAATGTTTCAGCAGAGCCAAACAACGACGCATACTGCATCATACAGGTGTTTCATCCTTCTAGGACAGTAATGCTAAAGGCTAAAATTGTAAATTTAAGAGGCGACTAAAGAAAATGTAAAAATCTAGACGGGGTGGTGCACTAGCATCATAATTCAGATCCGTTTTGAATGCAGTGAAAGGGGAATTGTTTTAGACTTGTGTGTTAGGTTTTAAAAAGACATCTAATGTATTGAATATATAACAAAGTCAACAAAAAAAAAATGAAAATATATTTTTCTCATGATAACAATGGTTTCAAAACGGTATCAATAAATTAAAAATGTAATGTCATAATATGAACTGGTAACAAACAAAAAACGCGTGTTCAAATGCGTAGTCTGTTCGGAATATAATAGTAAATTTACAGAAGAAATCTGATTTCATTCATTTGCATTATGTTTTTCCAGACAGGCACAAAGGATGGATATGCATGCCTTAGGTGTTCTTAAGTCTATATACAGCTGTGATTTCCGCCTAATGGAGGACAAAATATCTTTGTGGAGTTTTGCCAAGGGACGTGGGGATTTCAACTGGACAAAATCATTAACAGACTGTGGTGGACACTTACAATATTGTTTCGACAAGCAAATCCGTCGGTGTGGTAATGCGACATCCATAGTGACCAAGGTTGTGAGAGTCACTGTAGGTTTGGTTGGTAGGATGCTTGACAAATATCCTAATTTAAAAATAATTCATTTAATGAGAGACCCAAGAGCTGTATTGAGTTCTAGGATGGACATATGGCCGTCCAACACCAAAAACATACTGGAGACTGCTCGTAGTCTTTGTCGGAAAATGAAGGAGGATTTGATGGACTCGAAGCAACTTCTAACCAGATATCCTCACAGAGTTCGTACAGTGTTTTATGAAGATCTGGCACAAGAACCTATCAAGATCACAAAAGATCTTTATCAATTTGCAAATTATGATTTTACAACTGAAGACGAAATACGAATTAGAAGTATGACTGGGTCTTACTTGACCGTTACAAAGGCAGCACGTAAATGGAGTTTATTTAAGCAGAATTCCAGTGAAACGGCACGAAAATGGAGATTGACCATGCCGCCATCTGTCTCGCTTCTGACGGGATTGGGATGTAATGAGGTGTACGCTCTCGCTGGGTATCCCGAGCTGAAGGACAAAGCAGATCTTCGGAACTCTAGCATACCACTCAGATTGGCACTAAACTCGAAATCCTTGTTGTATGAATACCTATCTGTCAGTTCATGAGCAGGTCTGAGTAATGGGCAATTGTTATTTTATTTCCAAGTGATTTGAAACGAAGCATAGACGTGTAAATGCTAAAGTAATTATCCGTTGTATTCCTTCAGAAACAGCAAGCAAAAGGAGAAAATGTGATAATTTTTATGTGACTAAAACGACACACTAGTTAATAACACATTTCCAAATTAATATAGAATTAGACACAGTGGAGCCAAATCACGACTAAATCTGCATAGAGCTTTTCTAGGACTTGTCAGAGAATGGTCTGCGGTGTTGAGACCTTAGAGGCGACTGAATAAGATCATAATTGGTCAATTTAATTTCAATATATATATATGATAGTGCGCTGATGTCAAAACTGAATAAACCTCACGGTTCTCTTTTTTAAATGATCAAGTATCAAAGTCAGTTATACTGATATACTAACGTAGAGCAAACCGAAATACGCCACAAAGTGTTACACACCAGAGCAGCTACGGCTCTTGACATCAGGGTCGGAACATTTTAGAATAAACGACATGTATTGTATTAATCTGACATCCAGTTTCTGCAATTAAAGAACAACAATGGAAAACTGTTTTGATGTAGAGATGATAGAGGATATTTCGCGTTAATGCTACAACTTATATAGAAAATACTGTTTTATTTTCTATAGAATAAACACACACACAAAAAATGTTAATAGTTAAAATTTATTAAAATGATATCAACATTATTAACAGAAATAGAACAAGGTATATTCTAATATCAATTTTGAATACAACAACAAATGTCAATTATCATAACTTACAAGTGAGTGAGTGATTCTACATAGATGCGAAAAATATCATGTAAAAGGTCAACGATTCTTAACATAGGAGACACCCCGATAACTGGCCCTAAACATCGGGACATTTTCGAAACGCTAACCGTTCATAAACATAGGAGACACCCCTATAACTGGCCCTAAACATCGGGACATTTTCGAAACGCTAACCGTTCATAAACATAGGAGACATCCCTATAACTGGCCCTAAACATCGGGACATTTCCGAAACGCTAACCGTTCATAAACATAGGAGACACTCCGATAACTGGCCCTAAACATCGGGACATTTCCGAAACGCTAACCGTTCATAAACATAGGAGACACCCCTATAACTGGCCCTAGACACCCCTATAACTGGCCCTGGCCCTAAACATCGGGACATTTCCGAAACGCTAACCGTTCATAAACATCATAGGAGACACCCCTACAACTGGCCCTAAACATCGGGACATTTCCGAAACGCTAACCGTTCATAAACATAGGAGACACTCCGATAACTGGCCCTAAACATCGGGACATTTCCGAAACGCTAACCGTTCATAAACATAGGAGACACCCCGATAACTGGCCCTAAACATCGGGACATTTCCGAAACGCTAACCGTTCATAAACATAGGAGACACCCCGATAACTTGCCCTAAACATCGGGACATTTCCGAAACGCTAACCGTTCATAAACATAGTAGACACCCCTATAACTGGCCCTAAACATCGGGACATTTCCGAAACGCTAACCGTTCATAAACATAGGAGACACTCCGATAACTGGCCCTAAACATCGGGACATTTCCGAAACGCTAACCGTTCATAAACATCATAGGAGACACCCCTACAACTGGCCCTAAACATCGGGACATTTCCGAAACGCTAACCGTTCATAAACATAGGAGACACTCCGATAACTGGCCCTAAACATCGGGACATTTCCGAAACGCTAACCGTTCATAAACATCATAGGAGACACCCCTAAACATCGGGACATTTCCGAAACGCTAACCGTTCATAAACATAGGAGACACTCCGATAACTGGCCCTAAACATCGGGACATTTCCGAAACGCTAACCGTTCATAAACATAGGAGACACCCCGATAACTGGCCCTAAACATCGGGACATTTCCGAAACGCTAACCGTTCATAAACATAGGAGACACCCCGATAACTTGCCCTAAACATCGGGACATTTCCGAAACGCTAACCGTTCATAAACATAGTAGACACCCCTATAACTGGCCCTAAACATCGGGACATTTCCGAAACGCTAACCGTTCATAAACATAGGAGACACACCGATAACTGGCCCTAAACATCGGGACATTTCCGAAACGCTAACCGTTCATAAACATCATAGGAGACACCCCTACAACTGGCCCTAAACATCGGGACATTTCCGAAACGCTAACCGTTCATAAACATAGGAGACACTCCGATAACTGGCCCTAAACATCGGGACATTTCCGAAACGCTAACCGTTCATAAACATCATAGGAGACACCCCTACAACTGGCCCTAAACATCGGGACATTTCCGAAACGCTAACCGTTCATAAACATAGGAGACACTGATAACTGGCCCTAAACATCGGGACATTTCCGAAACGCTAACCGTTCATAAACATAGGAGACACCCCGATAACTGGCCCTAAACATATTTCCGACACGCTAACCGTTCATAAACATAGGAGACACCCCGATAACTGGCCCTAAACATCGGGACATTTCCGAAGCGCTAACCGTTCATAAACATAGTAGACACCCCGATAACTGTCCCTAAACATCGGGACATTTCCGAAACGCTAACCGTTCATAAACATAGGAGACACCCCGATAACTGGCCCTAAACATCGGGACGTTTCCGAAATGATTACGTTCATAAACATAGCATTCACCCCGATAACTGGCCCTAAACATCGGGACGTTTCCGAAATGCTTATCGTTCATAAACATAGCATACACCCCGATAACTGGCCCTAAACATCTGGACGTTTCCGAAATGCTAACCGTTCATAGACATAGCATACACCACGATAACTGTCCCTAAACATCAGAACGTTTCCGAAATGATAACCGTTCATAGATATAGCATACACCACGATAACTGTCCCTAAACATCAGGACGTTTCAGAAATGATAACCGTTCATAGATATAGCATACACCACAATAACTGTCCCTAAACATCAGGACGTTTCCGAAATGATTACGTTCATAAACATAGCATACACCCCGATAACTGGCCCTAAACATCGGGACGTTTCCGAAATGCTTGCCGTTCATAGACATAGCATACACCACGATAACTGTCCCTAAACATCAGGACGTTTCCGAAATGATTACGTTCATAAACATAGCATACACCCCGATAACTGGCCCTAAACATCGGGACGTTTCCGAAATGCTTACCGTTCATAAACATAGCATACACCCCGATAACTGGCCCTAAACATCTGGACGTTTCCGAAATGCTAACCGTTCATAATCATAGGAGAGGCCCCGATAACTGTCCTTAAACAACAATGTACACCTCCGATAGATTTAATGTCCATAGATATTGGGCGGAATATCCGATTTGTAAGCAGGCTTCAAGCACTAGATTTAAAATCCCTTTCACGGCTATGTAACAATTTGCGCCCTCTTGCCTTAAACACTTGTGCGACTTCTTGTTAGAATGACTGGATGCAGCAACTGTACATGTGACAACCGCGCTATCTGTCGGCTGCCTCTTAGATTTTGTTGTCGCAGAAAATCGTTAGAATGACAGCCCTGTAGAGACTGAGGTCTGAGACCATAGTGTTTGTAGTGGTTTAAGAGTGCGTGGAGATCTGGAAACATCTCACCTTCGAAAATGAAATATGATAAATGTCCGTTCTCCTGCGTTACGTATATAGCGTAGTGGATCAACTTTCTCAGATGACTGAAAAGTAAAGTTTACATTATATTAGCACTTCATGAGGGGTGTCATATCGGTACAATATGGTATTAACAGGTACAGATCGGAAAAGAGTCTTTGACGAACACACATCGCAATATAATTATTTTTCTAGTTTTAGCAATAATGTTTACATTATTAATAGAATGTGCGCCAACACATAATTATCAAACCATTGTTCTATAGTGAAGTATTTTGTTTGAGCTTGCATTATCAGAAATGAGACGCGATGTCGCAAGTCAGGGAATGACGTCAACAGGCACATTAACCACTTACATTCTGATTTTCAATAAGAATGAATTCAAATCTGTCAAATTAAACATGTGCATTTAAAGAAAGAACCGATTCACCAGTTGAAGATTTAATTGGTTTCAAATCTGTCTAATACATAGTGAAATAACAGTTGCTACTTACCTCACACTGAGTACAAGCGTCTTCTTCAAGGCCATATACCACAACAGATAATGTCCATCAGAATTCATGAAACGACTCATTTTACTCTCCACCTGACATGTAAAATATATAAGCATGTCATCACAGGTCTTTCATTGCTTCTGACGTTTCTTTCTTCCTAAGTAAAACGGATAATCCCTTACATAACCAAATGACAAATACAGAGTCAAGATAAAAATGGCAGTAAATTTCCTTTATTCCTGGTCCGTAATACTTACCGTGTTTTCATTCTCCCTTGGACTCCATTCTGGATATCGACATAACGCTTCGTTCAAATGTATGAACTTTGAATCTGCGCCTCCAGACCTGCTGCTTGGGTATGGGGTCGGCCTGGTGTTACGTGGCGGTAAGGATGGAGGGGTGTCCTGGCGATTAGGCGAGATTTGGTGACACCTGTCTGCCTTTCTGGTCGGTAGCGGAGGTACTGCCTGTACCCGTATAGGTTCAGCACCAATATTGCCTTCGTTGATGTCCTTTTTTGTCGTTTCGTGAAGGTTGCTATGAAACGGTACATCACTATCACTGAAAATATCAGGTACACGTGTTTCTAGAGTCACGTGTTCTTTGTGTTGGTGTATGTTAGGAGTTGGCTGTTGAAGTCTATCCAGATCTGAAGCCAACATTTCACGTTTGCCATTATTAACAACATCCTCAATATCACAGTGCTCTATAGGACTTTTATGCTGCCAAGTAAACATATCCGCGATAGTTCCAAGGTTATGTCCTTGTATCATATGTACATTATCGAACGTAAATCGTTCTTTGCTTGTTTCTTTATAAGTCATGGTTTCCCTATTCAAACTTTGGTAAGGCGCTGCCGAATCAGAAGTGGAGCGAACCATGCCATGATGAGGAGCTTCCATCACATTCGTAGCATCATTCTCCATTGTAATATTTTTGGTGACGACGCTCACTGTGCATTGTACCTGACTATGGTAAGGTGCCTTTACAAATGTCTCTTCCGATAGATTGTCAACAAAACCATCATCGCAATGCTCAACCATTGACGACTCGTTTGGAAAGAGATTATATCCGAATGTTTTGTTCGTGTCTGCTTCGCTATTTATCACTTTTTTGTTCACGTCCATATCTGTTGTAGACGACACGACATTTTCTGAATCGTCAATCAATTTTCGCTTGACGATCTCACTTTCTGTCCTGGCGATATCGCATGCCATATCTGGCATGTTTGACTTCATCGGAGGCCGTTCTATGCTTGAGCAGGCCACGCCTCCAATCACCGATAGGTCACATGTACAACTACGACAGTGAAATCCGGACTCAATTATCCGTACAGCTCCGTTATCGGCCTCTTTATGAGACACTGAGTGAACTATTTTCTGAAACATGTGAATACAACCATACATGTACAATGAAATCATAACCCTATTATTGTCAGACAACAGTTTATCTAAGTCAAAATCAATTTTATCTTTGGAACCCGTCAATGGAACTTCACTCTAAGGCAACTGAAAAGATTCTACTTTTTGTTGGATTAAATGCGCTTTTACCAAAAGTTTGACAAAAATTGCATGTAATTTTCGCGGATGTTATGTAACCGCATAAAGAAAAATTATATTTCTATAAATATCGAGTTTCTCTATTTAATCCCACCCTCGAGAAAAGTGAAGAATTATTTTGTTTACATTCTATGTGTTCCTAATTTTGTCCTTTTTATCTATTATGTAAAGTAAAACTTTTGAGAAAAGTTATTTTGGTGATTACCTGTGAAAATGTTTTAAATTTTCCGCAGTACATGCATTCTTCCGAAACATATCCTTTGTGACCGGGACAATTTTCGGGACAACATCTTTTTTGATTCACTGAAAAGCTCTGTACATTTTGTACTATTGTGGAATCTTCCCGTTGGTCACGCGAACTCACTCTTGGAATGTTTCTCTCTCCCGACTTTATCGTGTTGTCCTGACAAGTGATGTGCTGGTTCCCCGATACGTCTTCGTTGGGATCTGACAGATTATTCTGTTGCCCCTGATTGTGGTACTGGGGACTTTCTAGGTAAGCAGTTGGCGAAACCACCCTCCTGGATCGCCTCTTTCGGCGCACAGACAAATGCATACCCTGAAATAATGGGGGAAAACAGTTTTATCCGAAGGTCATGCGGTAAATAGCAGAATATTACACAAGGTAAAAAGGGCAAATGATCTCGATAATGTATTCTTAAATTTCTGATTATAAAGATAAATGATTATTTTATGATGTCACGTTACTTTAAACTGATGCGCCCTGTCCGTCCATGAAGCAAGTATCTCATAGTCTTGCAGCTTGCCTCCGAAGACATTCTCCAGACTCTCCTTGAGCGTCGCTTGGCAACGGGTGGGCACGGTCAGGAAATAGGGCTTGGCCATGTCAGACGATATAGTTTCATCTATTATTTTCAGGTGAAGCTTCATGGAGACTAAATCTGAAATAATACAGCGATAGGTAGCAAAACATCAGGATCATATAACACTTATAGTTAAAATCTTACATTCCTTTGATTTACTGGTATCTTAGACCGCTAAATAGTAGTATAGCTGATTTAATGTCTTTAAACAGCATAGACATAATTAACTAACTTTTTATCTTCTGTTCCAAAAAGGTGACACAGTCCAGGCGGCCGCATTCTTTCAAAGTCTCCAACAAGACGTATATAGAACGGCCTCGTTCCTGCTTTGTCCAATCTCTGAGAACCAAATAACCAGGTGGTTTGTACTCAGCAGTCGACTGGTGTTCAAATTCGTCGATCTTGTCCCTAGAGTAGCCCATGATTTCAGCAAGGCTTGCCCAATTACCTCTGGTTACGTTCTGTAGCTTCAGAGAGAGCTGGTATAAGACCTACGGCGTAAACAAGAATCATTCCGTAATTTATAAAACGTATCACATCAACATCTCAAATATGTAATTTATAAAACGTATCACATCAACATCTCAAATATGTAATTATGTCAACAAATGAACAAAAGTTCATTAGACAAGTCAAGAAACCAAGGTACCAAGCTTCACTCCAACTTCTGGTAAAAGCGTTAAGTATATTCAACGTCAGACTTTAAGGTAGACTCAACCATGTAAATTAGATGGGTTTGTGAATAGAGGTTGATTGTAAATTAGATGGGTTATTGTAAAGAGGTTGATTGTAAATTAGATAGGTTAGTGAATAGAGGTTGATTGTAAATTAGATGGGTTATTGAATAGAGGCTGATTGTAAATTAGATGGGTTAGTGAATAGAGGTTGATTGTAAATTAGATGGGTTAGTGAATAGAGGTTGATTGTAAATTAGATGGGTTATTGTAAATAGGTTGATTGTAAATTAGATGGGTTAGTGAATAGAGGTTGATTGTAAATTAGATGGGTTAGTGAATAGAGGTTGATTGTAAATTAGATGGGTTATTGTAAATAGGTTGATTGTAAATTAGATGGGTTAGTGAATAGAGGCTGATTGTAAATTAGATGGGTTATTGTAAATAGGTTGATTGTAAATTAGATGGGTTAGTGAATAGAGGCTGATTGTAAATTAGATGGGTTATTGTAAATAGGTTGATTGTAAATTAGATGGGTTAGTGAATAGAGGTTGATTGTAAATTAGATGGGTTAGTGAATAGAGGTTGATTGTAAATTAGATAGGTTAGTGAATAGAGGTTGATTGTAACTTAGATGGGTTAGTGAATAGAGGTTGATTGTAAATTAGATGGGTTAGTGAATAGAGGTTGATTGTAAATTAGATGGGTTAGTGAATAGAGGTTGATTGTAAATTAGATGGGTTAGTGAATAGAGGTTGATTGTAAATTAGATGGGTTATTGTAAATAGGTTGATTGTAAATTAGATGGGTTAGTGAATAGAGGTTGATTGTAAATTAGATGGGTTAGTGAATAATAGAGGCTGATTGTAAATTAGATGGGTTAGTGAATAGAGGTTGATTGTAAATTAGATGGGTTAGTGAATAGAGGTTGATTGTAAATTAGATGGGTTATTGTAAATAGGTTGATTGTAAATTAGATGGGTTAGTGAATAGAGGTTGATTGTAAATTAGATGGGTTTGTGAATAGAGGTTGATTGTAAATTAGATAGGTTAGTGAATAGAGGTTGATTGTAAATTAGATGGGTTAGTGAATAGAGGTTGATTGTAAATTAGATAGGTTAGTGAATAGAGGTTGATTGTAAATTAGATGGGTTAGTGAATAGAGGTTGATTGTAAATTAGATGGGTTAGTGAATAGAGGTTGATTGTAACTTAGATGGGTTAGTGAATAGAGGTTGATTGTAAATTAGTTGGGTTAGTGAATAGAGGTTGATTGTAAATTAGATGGGTTAGTGAATAGAGGTTGATTGTAAATTAGATGGGTTTGTGAATAGAGGTTGATTGTAAATAAGATGGGTTAGTGAATAATAGAGGCTGATTGTAAATTAGATGGGTTATTGTAAATAGGTTGATTGTAAATTAGATGGGTTATTGTAAAGAGGTTGATTGTAAATTAGATAGGTTAGTGAATAGAGATTGATTGTAAATTAGATGGGTTATTGTAAAGAGGTTGATTGTAAATTAGATGGGTTTGTGAATAGAGGTTGATTGTAAATTAGATGGGTTAGTGAATAGAGGTTGATTGTAAATTAGATAGGTTAGTGAATAGAGGTTGATTGTAAATTAGATGGGTTATTGTAAAGAGGTTGATTGTAAATTAGATGGGTTAGTGAATAGAGGTTGATTGTAAATTAGATGGGTTATTGTAAAGAGGTTGATTGTAAATTAGATGGGTTAGTGAATAGAGGTTGATTGTAAATTAGATGGGTTAGTGAATAGAGGTTGATTGTAAATTAGATGGGTTAGTGAATAGAGGTTGATTGTAAATTAGATGGGTTAGTGAATAGAGGTTGATTGTAAATTAGATGGGTTATTAAATAGGTTGATTGTAAATTAGATAGGTTAGTGAATAGAGGTTGATTGTAAATTAGATGGGTTATTGTAAAGAGGTTGATTGTAAATTAGATGGGTTAGTGAATAGAGGTTGATTGTAAATTAGATGGGTTATTGTAAAGAGGTTGATTGTAAATTAGATAGGTTAGTGAATAGAGGTTGATTGTAAATTAGATGGGTTATTGTAAAGAGGTTGATTGTAAATTAGATGGGTTAGTGAATAGAGGTTGATTGTAAATTAGATGGGTTAGTGAATAGAGGTTGATTGTAAATTAGATGGGTTATTGTAAAGAGGTTGATTGTAAATTAGATGGGTTAGTGAATAGAGGTTGATTGTAAATTAGATGGGTTATTGTAAATAGGTTGATTGTAAATTAGATGGGTTAGTGAATAGAGGTTGATTGTAAATTAGATGGGTTATTGTAAATAGGTTGATTGTAAATTAGATGGGTTAGTGAATAGAGGTTGATTGTAAATTAGATGGGTTATTGTAAATAGGTTGATTGTAAATTAGATGGGTTAGTGAATAGAGGTTGATTGTAAATTAGATGGGTTAGTGAATAGAGGTTGATTGTAAATTAGATGGGTTATTGTAAATAGGTTGATTGTAAATTAGATGGGTTAGTGAATAGAGGTTGATTGTAAATTAGATGGGTTATTGTAAAGAGGTTGATTGTAAATTAGATGGGTTAGTGAATAGAGGTTGATTGTAAATTAGATGGGTTATTGTAAATAGGTTGATTGTAAATTAGATGGGTTAGTGAATAGAGGTTGATTGTAAATTAGATGGGTTATTGTAAAGAGGTTGATTGTAAATTAGATGGGTTAGTGAATAGAGGTTGATTGTAAATTAGATGGGTTATTGTAAAGAGGTTGATTGTAAATTAGATGGGTTAGTGAATAGAGGTTGATTGTAAATTAGATGGGTTTGTGAATAGAGGTTGATTGTAAATTAGATAGGTTAGTGAATAGAGGTTGATTGTAAATTAGATGGGTTAGTGAATAGAGGTTGATTGTAAATTAGATGGGTTAGTGAATAGAGGTTGATTGTAAATTAGATGGGTTATTGTAAATAGGTTGATTGTAAATTAGATGGGTTAGTGAATAGAGGTTGATTGTAAATTAGATGGGTTATTGTAAAGAGGTTGATTGTAAATTAGATGGGTTAGTGAATAGAGGTTGATTGTAAATTAGATGGGTTATTGTAAAGAGGTTGATTGTAAATTAGATGGGTTAGTGAATAGAGGTTGATTGTAAATTAGATGGGTTATTGTAAAGAGGTTGATTGTAAATTAGATGGGTTAGTGAATAGAGGTTGATTGTAAATTAGATGGGTTTGTGAATAGAGGTTGATTGTAAATTAGATGGGTTATTCTGTTAAGGTATACAGTAAAAATCGAAAGGTTATTGATGTTGATTGTAAAGGGTCTCTTTCAGGAACATTGGAATTTTACCCACGCATCGAAGTAAATAAAAGTGGGTGGTATTTGTAGCACTCTAAGTGACTACTCGTAAAATACGATAAAAAAGGTCAAGAGGTCCATAGGGCCTGTGCTACGACCCATTTAGTGTCGTAACCATCAGGTATGACAGGGTTGAGTTTTTCATCTGAAAAAAGTATTAAAACCACAGCGTACATTACCAAATGATACACTGTGTCATTAACAAGGAGCAATTTGATAATATGGTGGTTTATATGAATCAAAATATTGCAAAATGAAAAACAATTAATTAGTTTCAAAAAAGGAGAGAGTATGATTATTTTTACATTTGTATAGCTCATACAATTTTTCAAAGAACTGAAGCATGTACTTTCAGTTTGAGTACACCAAAAATCTTTATGTATCATTTGGCCCTTTATGTCAAGAATATTTAGTGAACATTTCAAGAAAATAGATAGCTAGCAAAGGTGTCATTTAAAACACCAAAAGATTAATATTTCAATTTGAGTCAATTTTGTTGGGGTTCGACAGGGGTCAGTATTTCTTCAAAAGTCTGTTAAAGGAATGATGTACATAGTCACAGGATATCAGTTTTGAATAAGTAGATTCTGCTGCAGGTTTCCATGTCAAAAATAAATGTAAAAATTATTCATTAATATGCATTAACAATTTCGAACTTTAAGAACTTTAAAAAATGTCAGTTTCTCTGATAATTAATATGCATTAACAATTTCTAACTTTAAAAAATGTCAGTTTCTCTGATAATTAATATGCATTAACAATTTCGAACTTAAAAAATGTCCGTTTCTCTGATAAGAAAAGTTTTATTGAAAGAAAAAACATATCCGTTTTCAGTGCATTAATTATTTTTTCAAATTATTTCGCTCATTATCTGAAGTGTACACAGTGAAAATTACAGAAAAATTGAGAACCGGTAAAATTGCCATTTTAAGGCTCGACCAAAGTTACTATATGTATTAAAAGTGATTTTATCAATCATTCTTTTTTGTAACACAAGCAATATAGTTGGTTGAACGACAAACGATGTATGTTTTTGAGCATCTAAGTGACGTTCCTGATTATCATATTAAAAAATAATAATTGAATAGAATAATTATATTCCATATTTATATTAACTGATACTACAACATTTTATTGTAGAATCATAGACATTGGTTTCTTTTGGAACCGTCTGGAGCTATCAAGTGAGCATGATGTGACAGGAAATTTATTTCAATAACACAACAAATGAGTTGACTCATGAACTCAATATTCAATTTAACTCATCAACTCAAGGAGCAAGTCAGCTCTAGAACTCAACAAACATGTTATTTCATGAACGCACCATTCAATTTATCTCATAAACGAGCAAGTCTGCATTAGAACTCAACAAACATGTTATTTCATGAACGCACCATTCAATTTATCTCATAAACGAGCAAGTCTACATTAGAACTCAACAAACATGTTATTTCATGAACGCACCATTCAATTTATCTCAAAAACGAGCAAGTCTGCATTAGAACTCAACAAACATGTTATTTCATGAACGCACCATTCAATTTATCTCATAAACGAGCAAGTCTACATTAGAACTCAACAAACATGTTATTTCATGAACGCACCATTCAATTTATCTCATAAACGAGCAAGTCTGCATTAGAACTCAACAAACATGTTATTTCATGAACGCACCATTCAATTTATCTCATAAACGAGCAAGTCTGCATTAGAACTCAACAAAAACGACAACTAAGGAACTCATAGAAGTCATGAGAGAACTAAACAAATAGAATTAAAGAGGAAAAGCGATTAGAAACAACACATATCACATACAGAAATCTCAGCATTCTGTTAATTAAAAAATCAGTTAAACACATGAACCCTTCAAATGTTCACTTTTTAAAAAGTGGCTTGAAACACAACCACATATTAATTTAACAAATAATTCAACACAGTGTCTAAAAAAGGAAACTCAACGCAGCACGTATCAACATACCCTCCTGGACAAAATTCACTTCTTTCCACACGTTACGATGAGACCCCAGGTCTACTCTTATCTTACTTCTTTCCACACGTTACGATGAGACCCTAGGTCTACTCTTATCTTACTTCTTTCCACACGTTACGATGAGACCCCAGGTCTACTATTATCTTACTTCTTTCCACACGTTACGATGAGACCCTAGGTCTACTCTTATCTTACTTCTTTCCACACGTTACGATGAGACCCTAGGTCTACTCTTATCTTACTTCTTTCCACACGTTACGATGAGACCCTAGGTCTACTCTTATCTTACTTCTTTCCACACGTTACGATGAGACCCCAGGTCTACTCTTATCTTACTTCTTTCCACACATTACGATGAGACCCTAGGTCTACTCTTATCTTACTTCTTTCCACACATTACGATGAGACCCCAGGTCTACTCTTATCTTACTTCTTTCCACACGTTACGATGAGACCCTAGGTCTACACTTATTTTACTTCTTTCCACACGTTACGATGAGACCCTAGGTCTACTCTTATCTTACTTCTTTCCACACGTTACGATGAGACCCCAGGTCTACACTTATCTTACTTCTTTCCACACGTTACGATGAGACCCCAGGTCTACTATTATTTTACTTCTTTCCACACGTTACGATGAGACCCTAGGTCTACTCTTATTTTACTTCTTTCCACACGTTACGATGAGACCCTAGGTCTACTCTTATCTTACTCCTTTCCACACGTTACGATGAGACCCCAGGTCTACTCTTATCTTACTTCTTTCCACACGTTACGATGAGACCCTAGGTCTACTCTTATCTTACTTCTTTCCACACGTTACGAGGAGACCCGATCATATGATTACAAACCCTTGGTTTACTCAATGAAACAAACAGTTCTTCTCAGAGACACAATTCGAACGTATGAACATGGCGAATAAATCAACACTATATCACAAAAATCTATACAAACAAGTAAGACAAATTCACCAAAAGAATCAGTGCATGAACTCAACCTACTACTCATCACAAGAATGTGATGTTGGAAAATGTATCAAGAAGGAAAAACAAAACTGGCTACTCATTAAATCATTATACATTATGATATATGTGTGCATATGTAAAGATATGTTGAAGATTCTAGGCAATTATTAATGAATTCGTCATTTTTACAGCTTAGATGGATACAAGTTACCATTACTGAGGGAATCCAGTTGATTCTAGTGTTGTAGTTTTACGTGTGTGAACCAAACATGTCGATAAGAAGAGGAAGGATTATGAAAAACAACAACCTCTCGTTAATTATAGCTGAATTGTAAAGTCCTTAATTAAACAAGCCGTAGGTGTATCGATTCGATATTTAACATACAATTATTCATAAATATGTACGTGACATAATTTGAAATGAAAACATTATAATGATGTGCATCATAAATGTTGTTTGTTGTAAATGTTATAAACAAACAACATATATATAAACGATGAAGTGGCATTATACTTACATCTAATGCTAACTCCTTGGCTGGTCTGTCCAGTTCCTCGTATGTCACCTGACCAGGAGACTGTCCATGCTGACCAACATGATTATGGCCAGAGGCCCGTCCTAAGCCAAACTGGCCTACCTGACAAAAATTGGGTACCAGAGAATCCATGACCGAATCTTCGATGATATCCTGTCATTCAACAATATTCTCTTGTGACACAAAATATGTCCCTGGTTTTATGCACACAGAAGTCAATATTTTAATGTATTTGCCCGTTAACGAGTGTGTGTTTCTGTTAACAGATGTCCTCCACTATCTGTACTGACACGACTGGGACCATAACTCCTTTTATAAGCCGACATGTAGGATTCTAACAAGAATGAATTTCGACATCTGGACTCATGGACACATTTAAAACTAGGAAACCACTGGTGTTCACTTACAGATCCCACGAGTTTCTTTACACAGCTACCAGGCGTAAACCTGTTAATCTTTGTGTAGACGGAAGAATCCTTCTAAACATATGATTGCAGTCATCATCGACCTTGCCGGCGTGTTCTCATTGGTCGTTGGGCTCATGACGTTGTGTTTTACCTGGCTGTCTACACACACAAATACTAGATAGAGGGTTCAGTCTGTTCAGCCATGCAAGTCTTTAGTGAAATTCATATATATATTGTGTATAGATGTTGATTTAAGTTCTGCATACGTGGAACTCTATTTACTTAATCAAGACGTGCTAGTCTTTATTCATAAATCATCATTTAACTGTGATGGCAATTATAAAACGTCTCTGTCGAGAAACATAAACTATTTATCTTACATATATACAATTAAATTCAAAATCTATTCCAAACGTGTCCTAGTTCACCTGTCACATCTGGACCCGTAAAACACTGTCTGGGGCGGTTGTCTTCGCTTCGTCATGGTTCCTGATATAGTAGCCAGATTACTTGGTCATATCGTTTATCTACAAATCTCAAGAACAATACAAAATAAACCCGAAGCTAGATATCATAAGTTATTATCTAAACAAGCACTTTAGAGGAATCTGTGGGTGTGCTGTATGACCAGGGTAACGGACGGACGAGGTACTTTAGAGGAGGCTGTGTGTATAATGTATGATCAGGATAACGGACGGACGAGGTACTTTAGAGGAGGATGTGGGTGTAATGTATGATCAGGATAACAGACGGACGAGGTACTTTAGAGGAGGCTGTGTGTGTAATGTATGATCAGGTTAGTGGACGGACGGACGAGGTACTTTAGAGGAGGCTGTGTGTGTAATGTATGATCAGGATAACGGACGGACGAGGTAATTTAGAGGAGGCTGTGTGTGTAATGTATGATCAGGATAACGGACGGACGAGGTACTTTAGAGGAGGCTGTGTGTATAATGTATGATCAGGATATCGGACGGACGAGGTACTTTAGAGGAGGATGTGGGTGTAATGTATGATCAGGATAACAGACGGACGAGGTACTTTAGAGGAGGCTGTGTGTGTAATGTATGATCAGGTTAGTGGACGGACGGACGAGGTACTTTAGAGGAGGCTGTGTGTGTAATGTATGATCAGGATAACGGACGGACGAGGTACTTTAGAGGAGGCTGTGTGTGTAATGTATGATCAGGTTAGTGGACGGACGAGGTACTTTAGAGGAGGTTGTTGGTGCAATGTATGATCAGGATAACGGACGGACTAGGTACTTTAGAGGAGGCTGTGTGTGTAATGTATGATCAGGTTAGTGGACGGATGGACGAGGTACTTTAGAGGAGGCTGTGTGTGTTATGTATGATCAGGTTAGTGGACGGACGGACGAGGTACTTTAGAGGAGGCTGTGTGTGTAATGTATGATTAGGGTAACGGACAGACGAGGTACTTTAGAGGAGGCTGTGGGTGTAATGTATGATCAGGATAACGGACGCACTTGGTACTTTAGAGGAGGCTGTGAGTGTAATGCATGATGAGGATAACGGACGGACTAGGTACTTTAGAGGAGGCTGTGTGTGTAATGTATGATCAGGTTAGTGGACGGACGGACGAGGTACTTTAGAGGAGGCTGTGTGTGTAATGTATGATTAGGGTAACGGACAGACGAGGTACTTTAGAGGAGGCTGTGGGTGTAATGTATGATCAGGATAACGGACGGACTAGGTACTTTAAAGGAGGCTGTGGGTGTAATGTATGATCAGGTTAGTGGACGGACGGACGAGGTACTTTAGAGGAGGCTGTGTGTGTAATGTATGATCAGGATAACGGACGCACTTGGTACTTTAGAGGAGGCTGTGAGTGTAATGCATGATGAGGATAACGGACGGACGAGGTACTTTCGAGGAGGCTGTTGGTGTAATGTATGATCAGGGTAACGGACAGACGAGGTACTTTAGAGGAGGTTGTGGGTGCAATGTATGATCAGGGTAACGGACGGACTAGGTACTTTAGAGGAGGCTGTGTGTGTAATGTATGATCAGCTTAGTTGACGGACGGACGAGGTACTTTAGAGGAGGTTGTGGGTGTAATGTATGATCAGGTTAGTGGACGGACGGACGAGGTACTTTAGAGGAGGCTGTGTGTGTAATGTATGATCAGGATAACGGACGCACTTGGTACTTTAGAGGAGGCTGTGAGTGTAATGCATGATGAGGATAACGGACGGACGAGGTACTTTCGAGGAGGCTGTTGGTGTAATGTATGATCAGGGTAACGGACAGACGAGGTACTTTAGAGGAGGCTGTGTGTGTAATGTATGATCAGGTTAGTGGACGGACGGACGAGGTACTTTAGAGGAGGTTGTGGGTGTAATGTATGATCAGGTTAGTAGATGGACGGACGAGGTACTTTAGAGGAGGCTGTGTGTGTAATGTATGATCATGTTAGTGGACGGACGGACGGACGAGGTACTTTAGAGGAGGCTGTGAGTGTAATGTATGATCAGGGTGGATGAGGTATTTTAAGAGAGAGTGTGGGTTTAATGTGTGATCTTTAACCGGTGTATAACCCTGAGGAATAATTACTGTTTTCACTTCACAGATTTGTACAAAAGACATATACAGTTTATGCCAAGAAACAATTGAGAGACATTTTAATTCAAACTTCATATAATGTTTGTTTCTTCTGTAAGACCATCAAACAATCGTTGCATCTTTATCATTATTATTATTATTTTGTATTTTAAAAATGTAATATGAAATAGGAGTTTTTAGATATATATCTGTCGTCTCAATCGTTATAACTGATATCATCAATTGTATTGCGTTAACAGTGTGAAATGTATGACTCTAGATATATATATATATATATATATATTCTATTTTTTATTCCAGCATTTTAAGTATATCTGTTTCAGCATACTCGAGCACTAATACCTGTTGTGATAAGAATTCCAAAATCAGACGTCTCGGAGTCGCCGTTTTAAATGCTATCTATTGTTTATCGTATGTTCACCGTTAACATGTTCAGGATGTGTTAAGGTTCAGTTATTTAAAACTCGGGACACATTATGATTCTGTGATTTATGTGACAATTGCATGAACGTCTTCCGTGAAACAGTTATAGACAATGCGTATAAGAATGAAATTAATGTGGTTTCCTAGAATGTCTTCACTCCAGACGAAAACAAATTTGAGTAATCGATCACGGAAAAGTCATTCTGTCTGAAAATGGAAAGGGTATCCCCCTACCCGTATTGAAGGAGACTTGTTAATAATATCCGCCTGATGTTTACATTGAAGGAGACTTGTAAATGATATCAGCGTGATGTTTCTATAGAAGGAGAGTAAGTTAACCCATGTTTTGACACCTAAAAACACTTCCAGATTTTTTGAGACTACTTTGTTTATATTGGTATAAACAGGAACTAAAGCAGAGATGTTACCGTGGGATATAGAGATGTTACCATGGGATACAAAGATGTTACCGTGGGATAAAAAGATGTTACCGTGGGATATAGCAATGTTACCGCGGGATAAAAAGATGTTACCGATGGATATAGTAATGTTACCATGGGATATAGGGGTGTTACCGTGGGATATAAAGATGTTACCGTGGGATATAAAGATGTTACCGTGGGATACAGGGGTGTTACCGTGGGATATAAAGATGTTACCGTGGGATATAGGGGTGTTACCGGGGGATATAAAGATGTTACCGTGGGATATAGAGATGTTACCATGGGATATAAAGATGTTACCGTGGGATATAGGGGTGTTACCGTGGGATATAAAGATGTTACCGTGGGATATAAAGATGTTACCGTGGGATATAGAGATGTTACCATGGGATATAGTAATGTTACCATGTGATATAGTAAAGTTACCGTGGGATATAGTAATGTTACCGTGGGATATAGAGATGTTACCGTGGGGTATAGTAATGTCACCGTGGGATATAGAGATGTTACCGTGGGATATAAAGATGTTACCGTGGGATATAAAGATGTTACCGTGGGATATAGGGGTGTTACCGTGGGGTATAGTGATGTTACCGTGGGATATAAAGATGTTACCGTGGGATATAGGGGTGTTACCGTGGGGTATAGTGATGTTACCGTGGGATATAAAGATGTTACCGTGGGATATAGAGATGTTACCGTGGGGTATAGTAATGTTACCATGTGATATAGTAATGTTACCGTGGGATATAAAGATGTTACCGTGGGATATAGAGATGTTACTGTGGGATATAAAGATGTTACCATGGGATATAGGGGTGTTACCGTGGGATATAGAGATGTTACCGTGGGATATAGAGATGTTACCGTGGGGTATAGTGATGTTACCGTGGGATATAGTGATGTTACCGTGGGGTATAGTGATGTTACCGTGGGGTATAGTGATGTTACCGTGGGGTATAGTGATGTTACCGTGGGGTATAGAGATGTTACCGTGGGATATAGAGATGTTACCGTGGGATATAGGGGTGTTACCGTGGGGTATAGAGATGTTACCGTGGGGTATAGTGATGTTACCGTGGGATATAGTGATGTTACCGTGGGGTATAGTGATGTTACCGTGGGGTATAGTGATGTTACCGTGGGATATAGAGATGTTACCGTGGGATATAGAGATGTTACCGTGGGGTATAGTAATGTTACCGTGGGATATAGAGATGTTACCGTGGGATATAGTAATGTTACCGTGGGGTATAGTGATGTTACCGTGGGGTATAGTGATGTTACCGTTTTGAGCCCAACATAGATTAAACAAGATATTTTTATCCTTACTTTTTGTATTTTTCAACCAGATCGACAATATCTTTGTTCTCTAACCTCTGACACCAAGAGTGTTTTTTTATTTCTGTTGAGGAGAGAGCAGGGAATTACCAGGGACTAGATCTAGAGAATGGGGTTAGTGAGGTAGAATCCTCCGTTCGGATTTCCATGGTGTTTCTCCTTTAATTTATAATCACCTGCTTCAACAGGTTAGGCTAAATACTTCCTATTAATTGTGGTTCCAATATGCATGTAGTCGATGTGATTCACTCCTTTACTTTTCAAGAAAAAGCGAAAAAAGGACAATTAGTGGCCTTCTTGGTGGGCCTGACATTTCTATTGCATTAAGGCCTATTCCCGGGTCTTTATGGTAAACTCAGGTTACATCACAGAACACAACCCTAAAGTGACAATCATTTGGGTTGGCCTTATACCGATAGCGCAAGGCTCCACTTGTGGTGACCCACAAATACTTCAAGTCATTTGAAAGCATTACTGAGACCCATCTTAAAATGTATACTTGAAAGGTCAGTTGCTTCTACTGACTAATAAGAGTATAACAATATTGCGATTTTCCATCACTGGTCTGTTCATAGTGTCAATGTTTCCGGACTGGTACTGGTTGATGACCGTCCCGCTCTGGGCCATATTCTGTATCAGGGGAAGACTCCAGACGGCAGTCGGTCCCTCCTAAACATGTTTATCAGCTTGTTCCATCAGTACTAGAAGCTTTATCACCTTTCTATACTAAGTATTGTCCGTTCTACCAACTCATTGGGAGTATGTCTCTCCAACCAAGTGTTGTGAGTATACAATGGCTCGATATATCCCCATGTTTTATCTATATACAGATTACATTATGGGTGTCGTAACGTAAATTTTGCACCAGTTGATATGGTAAGAATGCTTTGTAATGCAATTATGTTTTAATTAAAAAGGTTTTTCTGGTGGACTTAAAATAAGCATACACTTCCACAAGAAGAGACCACACGAAAAAAAAAAGCTCAAGTGGCGCAACAATCAGCTACAAGCGATAAGTTTTCAGTACCTTGTCAACTTGTCAGCTGTCAGTTGACTCGATTGTCTGTCGGGTCAATTTCAATGTAAAAACACAAATTTATTGATAGAAATATGTAGTTGTGTCTTTAAACGTGAAATATGAAATTGTCTTAAGACACGAAACATGCAATTCTGTCTTTAAACGTGAAATACGTATGTGTTACTTTAGACATGAAATATGTAATTCTGTCGTAAGACACGAAATATGTTATTGTGTCTTTGGACATGAAATATGTAATTCTGTCCTACGACATGAAATATGTGATTGTGTCTTCAGACATGAAATACGTGGTTGTTGTCTTTAGACACGAAATGCGTTATTGTGTCTTAAGACATGAAATATGTAATTATGTCCTAAGACATGAAATATGTGATTGTGTCTTTCGACATGAAATATGTAATTGTGTTTTCAGACATGTTAACTATTGTCCATATTATTATTATTATAGTTGAATACGTTGGAGTCACTGCACAGAAGAGAAAATAATGTTATAAATTAAATTTGATCCCTGGTAAAGGTATTAATTGCTTTACAGCTGACCATAAGCCTAACAGAGATAAAACATAACTATAACAATGGTTGTGTATTGTGTTTACTTAGTAAGGTACCTGCTAATTAGTTGACAGTAAGGGCCAGTTTTAAGTCAGAGTTCAAGCCAAACTAGTTATTCATGTATCTGTACAGATGTTCACGATACTTCAGGGTTTTATTTGCTTTCCTTCTGTCTTTGGTTTTCGCCGGCTAAGGTTCTTTGTTTGACATGAAAAATTGCAGTTTCGTGTACATAACCTAACAGAAACATTATGTTACAAAGAGTTATCTCCCTTCGGATGCACGAAGTAAGTTTGGAGCGGTGTCGGTCAATACAAATCATTTAGCTGTGTTGATTATCTTCATGTCTATGTTGTCAGAATATTGAGACATCATATCATGTTTCTGAAGACTAAGGACAGAAATCTCCCTTTTAGAGAAATTTTACATTTTCAACAGAATAACCCCGTCAGCAGGCTAGAACATTTACCAGATTTTTTTTTAATATAGCCTTCCAAGTTTATCCGATATAGCATAGACCGTAGTCAAATAAATTAGCAAGTGAACCTTTATTTCGAATCAATATCAATTAGAAATCCAAAAATTCGAAAATCCTTGTGGATCCATTTCTTCGAAACATTTAGTGCATTCTAGTAAAAACATGACAGATCTAGCAAGGCTCTTACTTAAACCATCACATTATCTTAACGTCTACAGGACCGAAAAATGTAACAAAACATTCAATAAAATAAACCAGTATACCGAGGTAAAGTTTGAAACAAAACTGGCTGCTTCCCAGTGCTATATTCTCATTTACGTAATATAAATAGTGAATGGTTGATGCCGACACATCAAGAAATCATAATAACAAAGTTTGGTTGGAAGTTTACTTTTAAAGATATTCCGAGAAAATAAGTGTTACTATTGCGAACGACAACCCATTTTTATATAGATGGTTCTAAAGACTTCATGTGACTGTCCAAGTCAAACTCTGTGAGGGGTGTAATGTGTGCACATGGGACCGTCCAAGTCAAACTCTGTGAGGGATGTAAGGTGTGCACATGGGACCGTCCAAGTCAATCTCTGTGAGGTGTGTAAAGTGTGCACATGGGACTGTCCAAGTCAAGCTCTGTGAGGGATGTAAGGTGTGCACATGGGACCGTCCAAGTCAAACTCTGTGAGGGATGTAAGGTGTGCAAAAAATTAAACGGTTTGAAACATAAAAATAACGACAGAATATTTTTTTCTCTTTTTATTAGAAAGTTACAGCACTTAGCATTACATCCATTGCATATAAGTATAACCCGAACAGCGAGGACACTTCGACATCAGCTACGGTATACCTTGTCATACTGGTGGTGTACAGGTGGTGTGGGATCAGTTTCACCAGTTCTTAAAGATTACTTTAAACAGAAGAAAGAACGACAGCGTATAGATAACACCATTTTGGCTTTGACAAGTAATGATCCGTGGTTCGTTTTGTTAACTCTGGACCAAAACTTGATCTCGCCATCATAAGGCAAGGCTAGACTTTTTTAATCAACGTGGACCAGAGGAGAGTAGTGAGCTTGATTTTTTTTTTCGGTTAACTATTTTAACTCCAATTAATAACGTTATGAATATCATCACAGCATGTTTTAGGAGTGAAAAGGATACGCAAATCAATTTAGCAAATGTACACCGGAAATTGCAACTGTTTGTATAACATGGAAGGTAACCGTGGCTAGTGTCTTAAGCTTATTCAGTGACAACGGTAATACAAGAGCTCGTGTACTTCACGGCCTTCACATAACTATGGTTACGATGTCACCAAGTTGTGTCCTGTTAAAGCACAAAGTTGATAAAAAAATCCCGTACAACGAAATTTCGCTCTTTCACTTGATACGGAAAATGTGAATTTCTCTACCGTCATCCGTAGATAAAAAATGCCGTGAAAAATAACTAAAAAAGAAAAGAAAATTCATTTCAATACCTAATTTTGAATAAAATTTGAGGGAAAACTTCTAAATCTGTAATCTATCCTACCTGAGGAAATTCCAAACCAATTTAAATACAAAAGACGGACAATATCTAGCAGAAATGACGCGGAGAGTACTGTATTGAGTATTATATTTCAGATGGTTATTGCTATAGAATACATCCTAAGTTGATGGGTATACTACTGGGTGAGTATTAACCAGTGTAAATAGTAACTATCCAGTACAATATTACGTCACGTGACCCAAATTCAACGTTATTATTTCTCCACGAGAGAAACATATATTACTCTACATACGAAACGATACAGTCGTCTTTTTCGCGATCATACCGAAATTAATACAATAACATGCCGACGATACATTATCATGCTACTGCGATAAATTTCACACTACCACAGTACTGATGGTCTACAACACTAATAAGGCGCCGATAACGTACCAAATTCCCGCGACAAAGATAAATACATCACCACGGCGTTGTAAATGTGAACACTTGTATTTTCACTCTCGAACTCGTTATGCTATTGCTGTATTGTGTTAATGGATGGATGTAACCGAAGTCGGGTTTGGTGACGTAATCTTCAAATCACTTTTACACAATACACAAATATGCAAAAATAAATATAGAACTTATGATTAATAAACATACACATATACTCAAAAAGAGACAATAGCGCACACCACGTGTTATTTACAAGCCAATCGAAATCTATTGCTAACTAATATGCAAAACGGTCATTTATTCAATTATAAGATAAAGAAGTAACAAACATTCAGAACTTGGAATCTTGTACAACATGGACAGACGTTGGAACTGTTGAGAACCTAATACACAGTTCTGAACTCGAACAAAATCCATATAGTGAAGTTTTTCCTGACATGAAATGTACATTCTCTCTACTCTGTCATAAACGGCGCAATTTTCCATCACGTATTGGAAAATAAACAAACAAATCAATAACTTAAACCCGCCATGCATTGTACATTTTTATAACACATGAGCATATCTAACACTTAAAAACCATATCAGAATCCCACTTGTACGAAAAACAAGCGTTTAATTGACCGCGAAATATGACACAAACACACAGTTGAATGAGATGATGGCATGGACAGTGGTGACTAGAAGAGTGTGAGAGTTATAACACTGGAAATTAGGGGAAATGAATTAAAACATCTTAAATGGTATTAAATAAAATGGAATAAACACAAAGCGTCGATATAACTAGTTGCTGTACTATTTATACACAAATATTGAACTTAACATGTACACTACAGATGCACCGTCTATATACAAGTAATTAATTGAACTCAGGATCAAAATTTGCTGGACATTAATTTGTCTGCCAACCAACCGTTGAAACTGGGCATTCCGCCTAATTCCTGGTGGTCGACCGATTGTGGAGTGGAATTTCGAATCCACCTGTCCCTAAAACAAAACAATCTTTTACTTCCGTGTCATCCGTCATTGACACGTTTATGTCAGTATGGTAAACGTCTTATGTTTGAACTACAAATAGTCTCGTTTTCATACACTCTTTGAAATGAGTTACTACATTCCTATAGTAATCACATGACATGGCCAATAACCTGCTCATGCCATGCGCTATGCACAATAATATGATTCCCGTTACAGTAAGGCGTACACACATTTCCCATCCCTCCCGTGCCTGTTAGCCTAAACTACGTGTAGGTCGATATCTAAGAAATTGTCAGTATATGATACCATACCTATTAGGGCGACTTTACCAATAAAGATAGGGTTTCTGCCGAACCTTGAATTCTGAACAATATGTCTTTTTATAATCGATTTCACAATCCTAATGTCAACCAGCTACACTTATAAATATCTTCAGTTAAAATGTCGTAATTACAGTCAGGGATGATGACAAGTCCCTTGATGATCTCTACATACTGATGGCCGACTCTCCTAAACTACTGCTCGTGGATGTAACCGTCCTGCCCTAGTAGTATCTATTTGTACATATCACCCGTGCATAGAGGAATGATTGAAGAGTTCTGCCTGAATATCTAATCATTTTTATAATTACAAGACAAGCAATGACAATATAAGTGATAAACATGACAATACGCATGACAGGAAGTTGGATGTGGCTGCACTTGTTCCATCGCCCTGTGGTTCGGCTGTAGCTGTAAGATAAAACAAGAGGTTAAAGTTCTATGAACATTTTGTTTATCAAGCCAAACAAAAGTATTTGTCTGGAAAACTTAGAATTAGGACATCCGTCTAAATAAAGAAAGCTATGCACGCTCTAAATTCTAAGAAAGTTCCTAATTGACCTACTCGTTACGGTGTCGGTGTGTCTGACATCCTTATTGACCTACCCGTCACTGTGTCTGACATCCTTATTGACCTACCCGTCACTGTGTCGGTGTGTCTGACATCCTTATTGACCTACCCGCCACTGTGTCTGACATCCCTATTGACCTACCCGTCACTGTGTCAGTGTCTGACATCCTTATTGACCTACCTGTCACTGTGTCAGTGTGTCTGACATCCTTATTGACCTACCCGTCACTGTGTCTGACATCCTTATTGACCTACCCGTCACTGTGTCAGTGTGTCTGACATCCTTATCGACCTACCTGTCACTGTGTCAGTGTGTCTGACATCCTTATTGACCTACCTGTCACTGTGTCGGTGTGTCTGACATCCTTATTGACCTACCTGTCACTGTGTAAGTGTGTCTGACATCCTTATTGACCTACCCGTCACTGTGTCAGTGTGTCTGACATCCTTATTGACCTACCCGTCACTGTGTCTGACATCCCTTTTGACCTACCCGTCACTGTGTCAGTGTCTGACATCCCTGTTGACCTACCCGTCACTGTGTCAGTGTGTCTGACATCCTTATTGACCTATCACTGTGTCACTGACATCACCTACCCGTCACTGTGTCAGTGTGTCTGACATCCTTATTGACCTACCCGTCACTGTGTCACTGTGTCTGACATCCTTATCGACCTACCTGTCACTGTGTCACATCCTTATTGACCTAACCGTCAGTGTCACTGTGTCACATGTGTCACTGTGTACGTGTCTGACATCCTTATTGACCTACCCGTCACTGTGTCAGTGTGTCTGACATCCTTATTGACCTACCTGTCACTGTGTCAGTGTGTCTGACATCCTTATTGACCTACCCGTCACTGTGTCTGACATCCTTATTGACCTACCCGTCACTGTGTCTGACATCCCTATTGACCTACCCGTCACTGTGTCTGACATCCTTATTGACCTACCCGTCACTGTGTCAGTGTGTCTGACATCATTATTTACCTACCCGTCACTGTGTCTGACATCCTTATTGACCTACCCGTCACTGTGTCTGACATCCTTACTGACCTACCCGTCACTGTGTCTGACATCCCTATTGACCTACCCGTCACTGTGTCTGACATCCTTACTGACCTACCCGTCACTGTGTCTGACATCCTTATTGACCTACCCGCTTCTGTTCCTGAGTGTTTGACTTTTTATTTGACCTACCCGCTTATACATACTTTGCCTATTTATAGAACTGTACATGTGCTTACCGACAACAACATTCACGTCTCCTGATTTCTCTGTTTCTTTATCATACTTGGAGGTTGCGTCAGGTTCAGGGGTCGGTGTTGTAACGCCGGGCTTTGGTGTAGTAGGATATCTTATGCAGGTTTCGTTCGACTCCGTCTTGGGGCAAGCGTCCACTGGAAAGGAAAATACACACCGTAGTTTATGTATCCCCATAAAGAAAATTTTGTATCCTCCACACTTTGCTATATAACCTGTCGGTGTTACCTACTTTGACATGTTTCACTAAAATTATCCTCCATTAGGCATCATCCTATAAAAGGAAATTACGAGGGGAAAGACATAATTAATTTTTTAAGTGAGCCGAGTTACAATTTGTGAAGTGAAAACATTTAAAGCCCCAATATACGTAACATTCACCAAAACTTTAGTGTAGAATTGCACATAATTATTGAGATATTCTCTAAGATGTAGTTAAAATTAAGTTATTCAAACAATAGTTACCATGACTTTGTGCATAAAGTATTGATATATGAGCAGTTGAAACTCGCTATTTGTAAACACACCTCCATTTTAAACACGTCGCCATCGAAATTACGATTGTTGTCGAACACGTCGGAAAGTTCATGACCTGATCTCGCGAGAATTGAGGTTTCTACTTAGAGAGGAAGCACATGCAGATATGTCTACGGTAAGTTTTTGTTTACAAACATTGTTTGCGAAGTCTTGTCGTAGACTTGAGGTATTCCTGTGATAAACATTCAGTTTTTTGGGAAATTATTAGAAGGAATAATTAGTTTAGAAACGATATGACGCACAATTATAACGTAAGAATTCAGAACTGGCCTGATGTATGATTGGAAAGAAAGGAAGCGACTGGTGGACGTCTGTACTGTGTCTGCCATGTTTACACACGGAATATACGCATGCGCAATGTCATCGCTACGAGCGGTCATGTATGAATTATTGTGGGTCCCACATTGTTTATTTTCCGATTTTTTCAATTTTTATTTAAATTGAAAACAGTCAGTTTTATTTTGTTTAATTAAAGGAAAGTATTTGTTTTGTTACATATATTACGGGGAAAATAAGGTAAAGTTTGTTTTTTTGATTTTTACGTATATTGGGGCTTTAAAAAAGATCTAAAAACAATAAATTGTCTCAAACTCCTTGTTAAAATAATTCATAAAGATAATAAGTTGAACTTTTCATAAACTTTACCATGTATATCACGTGTGTACTGTAAACTGAATGATGGAGGGCTTTTTCAAATCATGCACATTCTTGAAATAATAATTACCATTTTAATGAACCTTGTAAACACACGTTCGTATTCTCATTGTATCTTTCCGGTGCCTCCATGTAAATCTTTCTTTTAGTCAAATTTTGCTATAGCATATATTTATGATCACAATTTGGTATTTACTTGCGGTTATAAATTTTAAGTTGCAGATAACACTATTGTCCACTAATACAATTATTTCGTCAAGCAAAAGATTTAACAATATGTAATCTCGTATCACAGTCTATGACGTCTATGAATCGCCACGATACTGAATATTTCACTGGTCTGCGGTAGTATCCACGCTCACTCACCGTCCTGAGTAAAGGCTGTACGTTCGATACCACATGAGGCTGCAACTTCGTAAATAACTTCTGCTTCAAATGCTGTGTATCTGAGTTTATAGCCTTCCATAGTTTTCTCCAGAAACATCACGTATTTGTTTCCGATCTCCAATTGCGCAGTCGGACAGTCAGCTGTAGCAGAAACAACACAGTACATAATTAATCAAAATTAGAGGTTCATGTTGCAGACATGCATCGTATTTAAAAGTGCTATAATAATCAAGTTCATTGATTATGGTTACATTTAAGACACCTATAATGAGTTGGTTACAAACGTTTGACGGTATATTTTCGGCGAAACGGTCACAATGGCGGTACCTTATCACCGTTCATTTGACTACAATTATGACGTCATGGACACTTGAGCAGCATTTCATACTGTGATGTCACCATATGTTTAGCATATGCGCAGATCACACGACTGGCGTTGTAGTTTAGTTAATACACTAATGTCGTGTTTTTTTAGTATGTGCTATCATTAGACTTGTGAAAAATAACTGACGTCATGTCATGTTAAATGTACTTGCATGTTTTTTTATGACGTCACAATTAGGACACTACATAAACAGCATGTATTGTACTGATGACTTTGACTCATGGGTATACATACAAATTTGTCATGTTGTTAACATTTAACGAAACTGTCGATTATTGACAACAATCTATGAAGAGGGACCTGAGAAAGTATATTTTCTCAGCAGAATTAGTCATAGGCTTTGTAAACAAGGTAAAACTTGTTTATCCCAGTTTATCAAAAGGCGGCCGTGCATCGACCGTGTCGACATAACCTGCCTATTAAAGATGATGATTAAACTGCTTATGATTCTGAAAGACTTGTTTTTGTTATAAACAGTCTGCTTCAAAAGGATCACTGTCAAGCAGCTCGCATGTCTTACCGTCCTCGGTATACTGTGAAATGTAGAAACACACGGAGACGCCGGTCTCAGTACATTTTTATAACTCATGTTATTATCATCTTTCACGAGAATCCCTCTTTGACTGCACTAATCCATTGACCTATAGAGTATTACCATGGAGATATATTGACGTCTGTCCTACAGTCCGCGTGACTTACTCGTCCAAGTTCCCCGGGGAGCAGGATTTACATATATATGATAGAACTGAGGCCTATAATCTCCAGTTAGAGATTTCCATCAGAATCACACGCCGGTATCTATTTCAAATACAAAGTCATTTACAAATGAAATGAAGTCCGGCTTTGACCGACCTTGGAGCTAAAACCGAGAACTATTTCCAACCTTATAATTGAAATCTTCCAAGACAGCCCAAGATGACAGTTGATATGGAAACAAAGAGAGTGTAATTACGTGCTAAGGAATTGTACTTTGGTTAAGTCATGCGAATATATCTCATTGCACTGGAGGTAATATCGACTTAAACAGGCTTGCGATGAAGATGAAAAACGATCATAGTAACATTCACAATAATTCTCTTTCATCCTTGTTCATCAACAGTCCCGACAACCACCATCAACCTTTCGTGCCAAACATTTTCCCAATCATTCTTGTAAAGTGTTATCAATCAACAACGCCAGAATCCTTGGTTCTGCAAAGCTTTCCAGGGACCATGGACACGGAGCCTCTTGTTCTGTTTCCAAGGAACGGTGACACGGAATACTTGGTTTTAAAACACAACAACGATTCCTTTGTAAAAGACATCTGGGATCGAATGGGATTGTTTGATGTCGAACCAGCTGTTCCATAAACTTACGACCAGATATTTCATCACAGAAATTATAAACGTCCTTTCAGTCCGAGTAACGACATAGTAATGATGATATTACAAAAGCGTGGCGTTTAGAGTGCGTTTATAACCATCAGTTTTACTGATACCTCAAATATGACGAAACTTTGATATACTAGTATAATACTGCTGAAATGGTTTAGTTCCAGTTCCCTTCATTAAAGCATTTCTTACATAATGATTCCTTGTTACGCATAGATTAGAGGCATGGATGTTATACGTTTAAAATTTTAAGGAATATTACAGATTTAGTCCTATCCTATCTCCCTTGTAGGGGTTTCGCTTCTTCCCACCACCCCTTCATTCACTACGTGGAGCTGTGATCTATCCGCTTATCAGCCAATCGAACACAGGACACACAAAATTACATCTTTGTCTTTGTTTCCCTGGTGGCTTATATCTAGCGATATCTAGCATTTGATACCGAAATATACAACAACAACAACAACAATAACAAAACAATATTTAAAAAGTAAATAAAAAATAATTCAAAAAGGAAAATCAGACTATACGGCCATATTTGAAGGTAAAATAAGAACTGTCAGAGTATCATTGGATAATGGTTGATTCTCCAGTGCAACAACAGCCAACCCCCCCCCCCCCCCCCACACACACACACACCACCATCCTCTCTACCGCATTCTAACTGGCCTAATCAGTTTAACATTTTAGTGGTATTTGAGGCGCGCGTCAATTGTCCTCCCATCGCGTTGGTTTTATATCTTGTTTTGTCATCGCTACATTCCGAAATACCATCTCTTATCTCTGCTTTGACATGTTTTTTATTTATAAATTCGACTGTGTTTATTTACATTGCCAGTGCCCAGACATTGGGTGTTGGACCTGTAGAGATGTGTGTTCTACAATCCTCTGTGATATAAACCATGGTAAGCTGTGAACTCTCCGACTGTCAGCCTATCGGGACAGACAAAATTATATCTTCATGAAACTGACACGTTAAAACAAGTATAATTAGACCTCAAACAACACCACGATTATAACTACACATAAAAAGGGGTATGTGTTGTATAAATCCTCCTCCCATTAGGTATTTGAGACAACTTTACAGTTTTTATGTAGCTATTATACTCCTTTGGCCAAAAAACGGCTGTTCATGATAGCTTTGCTTAAATTGCCAAAGTAAAAGAACGGTGTCATAAACCTCAACTGATTAGTCTTTTTATTTATTTCCTCGTTCCAAGTCCATATTTTATCTCTTTTGTGATATTGTATATCATTTGAATAGGTTGTTAAAGGGGAGAATGTTGCCGGGGAGACGATGCGGAAAAAACCCTCAATTTATTCATATTACTAATTAATAACATGTAGTATTTCCTTTCTATTCATGAAAGGAAATAAAACGAAGCCGAGGAAAATAAGTTAGAGTACGCATCCTCGAAATCTGACCTAATTTTAATACGAGAGTGAATCACCCTTTCGTTGTATTTCAGCAGCGGTCATCGCCGGCAGACCTAATGACTATAATCCACGATGTCGCAGATTTTTGTGTATTTCGCTCTGCAGCCGTTAGCATTGTTCTCGGTGACCAGCGTGCGACCGTCAAGTAGTTGTTCTGTTTAATTAATCACATTTACCAAAGCCTTCAAACCCCTTTAAGGTCTTAGAAACACCGTATAACTACCAATCAATGTCTTCATACCAGCGACCGATCTGCAATGACCGATATTTTCTACGCCCTTCTCGTTGACCTAAGACCTCTCAGGAAAGGTCAAAGTTGAAGACTCCACGCGTGTTTTAAGTTCCATATGAACATATGTCGGATCGGAGTCCCTAACAAAATCCGGGAACAGATAGAATTACGATTGACATAACTATGATCATTGAGGTCAAAAGTTCAGCCACAAAACTGGTTATCGTTATCTGTGAAGACAAAAGACTTACTATATTACATATGGAATGTACCGAATGTCAACCTATCTGTGTGTAGACTAGCTCGACAGTTAACACACATCCATCACTCCTCTACATACGTATCTAGTTAGCGGTGCAATCTTTCATATGGTTTGTTTAATCCCATTGGTATCTTTTCTAAAATGTGTTCCGGGTTCGTGAAAAGCCTGTATTGGAGAAGAGCTGGGCGAGAGTGAGTACGTACTGCTCATACATATAATCAGAGACGCGAGATACATATACTCATCGTCCCTGATATTAAAAACGAGGCAGATTTCTCCGCCTAAAATCCGTCGTAATAAAAACAGAAAGTTATGTAGCGATGTTTTGTTTGTTGGTGATGTCTATGTATGGGGTACAGAAACACGCACAACTTCTCAGTCATCACATAGAGAGATGAACGTGCGACAGATTGTACGATTACGGGTGGGGGAAGTTTTTTACTAGTACTCGGCGCAGGATAAACATGTCCAATCGACTTATAATAGTCAGCGCACATGTTGTTTGAAGTACAGAGGTCTACCGACTGATGGCTGATAAGCTACCAACCTTATCAGCCCAGGTATCGGGCATTGTTTCTTCTTTGTGTGAAGGTTTTGGACACGAAAGTAGTCTTCAAAAGATTGCTGAGTGCATACACCAGAAGTGACAGCTGATGGAATCTTCGGTTCTCTACCGGGCCTCCCCGATCTTTCTGAATCACGTGCTACCACTATTGAAACTGATGCCTCTTGTCACTTTCACTTTGAAGAAATGTTTTACAGGAAGCATATATCAGTCAGAGCGGAGAGTTGCCAGGCGTCAGGAGAGTAAGTACTGTAGTAACACCGCAGAGTAAAAAAACAGAGACAGGAATGACATAACTAGAGAGTTGTCAAAAAAAATGTGTTATTACCAGACGATGATTCGGAACATGCATTTGACCACGAGAGATTCTCTCTTTTTTCGCAGAAAAAAATAAACAACTTTTATGCCTTTCAAAACGGTTTAGTAACAAAAACATAGTGTTGCCCTGAATAGCTGTGAACACAATTGTTTAAACCGAAAACAAACCTAGGTCGATAGCCAACAGTCCTTCTCCTTAGCAGTAGCAGTTTTTTTTTTCCATGGTGAGACCTTCTCCTGAATCAGATGATTTCCATGTGTTACTGTCATCGCTTTACTAGGAAATAGCATGATCATAAACGACGTGTCAGTTTTAGCCAGGTGTCACGCTAAAATCCCATTCTCTCTGTCCAAGTATTTTAATATTTGCTGACTCATACCTGCCAACAAATCTGTACTTAATACTACACCAAGCTATACATATCTATAACAGTTTCTATTCTGCAAATAATACATAGATGCGTGCAACACTGCTTCATTCTCAGTTAAACATTTCACTGGTGGTAACGTAAGCTTTCCCACTCATTCTCCGCTAGACGTTTCATTAAAGATGTACGGTAATAACAATGCGT